TTATATTGGACCCGTAGATGGTTCTGGGAAGTTTTGGAATTCAGTGGAGCTCCTACGCAACAGCAGCGTCCACAATGGAAAGATAATGAATGTTAATGAGAATAATTCAGAGTTTCATGAATTTCGAGGACGGAATTCCGTTTGTTAGGGGGGGAGAATGTAATACCCCTAAAATTAAAAAGGATAAAATTTAAATTTAAATTTCATTCTACGTGCATTTTTTGTCTATTGATTTTGTAATTGTTGTATTTTATTTGTTTTATTTTAAATGCCTTATTTGGTTAATTATTTAATTGTCTTATTTTCTTTATTTGAATTATGGTTTGTTTAGTTATCTGAGTTATTGTATTGTTTGTTTTATTTTAAATTGTATTTTAAATGCTTTATTTGGTTAATTATTTAATTGTCTTTAATAAGTGCTTAAGTAGAAGTTGAATTAACAGTTTTCAGTTAGGGTTTCTTGGAGCCGTCATACAAGTATTTAACGTGTATGTGACTTAAGTTTATGGGCCGACTCTAGTTTAATTAGGGTTCTGCCTTAGCTCTAGTTTAATTGGGGTTTTCTAAAGGCCTATATATATACGTGTATGAGTTTCACTAAGGGTTTTGGAAGAACCCTATTCACGACACAGTAAAAATAGAAAGTAACAGAGAGAGAGTTGAGAGAACAGAGGCAATTGTAAGAGCTACCAAGGACAAGAACAGAGAGGGTCAAAGGAGGGTTGTGGTGGATTAGATCACACCCATAGGAGGCTTGAAGGAAGTTAGTAGTTGCCGGAAACTTAGAGAGGACGCCGGGATTTCATAACTGAAATCACAGGCAAGTTCTTCTCTTTCTCCTTCTCTTTGGCTCTTGTTCTGTGTACCTAGATAATTTCTAAGGATTAATTGGACATTAATTTAACCATGCATGACTATTATATGTTAAATTTGGTTATCTGTTATCCGTGAAATTTATCTGTAATAATTGTATCATGTATGGTTGCATCGTCTCTGTTTTTAGAGTAAAAAGGTCGTTACTGTTTTAACATGGTATTGAGTTTGACTGCTATAAACGAAGATCTAATTTAATACTAGATGAGATTTAAACCTTTAAAAATTTATATTAGAGGAAGAACAGAGGGGTTGGAGTGGAACTGTTGTTTCAAATTAATTTCAGTTTAGTTCCTTAAGCATGTTTTAGTTCAGTAGCAAATTTAGTTCAAATTTAAATTCCTGTAATTGATTCCAACGATTGTAATGAACTAATGGGATGCTACTGGGTGTTAATTAGACGCCTAAGTTCAGTTTTAATATCCTACAGAGTGACAGGAATAAGCCGGTGAAGGAGCAGAGAAGCTGAAACGGAGCAGAACGGAGAGAAGGCTCACAGGGGGGAAGAGAGCCGGCTCTAGAATACCAAGAGCCGGCTCCCACCTGATTAGAGATGGCTCCAAGGTTGTATGGAGTCGGCTCTAGGCTGAAGTGGAGCCTGCTCTAATTTTTCCAAGAGCAGGCTCTTTCTCAATTTGACGCATACAAGTAATTGGATTATGGTTTTGAACTGTAATTGCTGTAGTGTTGTATAAACTATTCTGCAATTACCTGGCTTTTGGTTTTAGTTATTAAATTGTTGTACTGTTATTGATAGTCTGTAATTTTTACATGGTTTTGGATTTAAATTGCTGAATAAATATATTCTGTCAATTACATGGATATGGAGGATTGTATGCACCGGTATGGGACGGTGACATACTAGGGGACGGTTTAGCTTAAAACGCCTAAACCTAACCTAATGGATTAAAGGAATGGATTTAAAAATATTGAAACCTAATTGTGTTAAGTCAAATCAACTGCAACTAAGTTGAGTGGCTTCCTGGATTAATAGATGATAGTTAAGTCAAATCAACTGAATAAGTTGATAGACTAACTAGCTTATTTATTGTATGTCAGTTCAATAAATATTTGAACTACATACCCTGGTTTTGGACGGACTTTATATATATGTTTATAGTACCACGAGATAAGCTTGAGCCTCAGACTTGTTGGTTAAGGTGCGTATATGCAGTGGATGCGTAGCTGGCTATAGTAGGTTGAGGTGTACCCTGTTAAGTCTAGGTACTCATGCCCACCTTTGGGTGCATTTTTGCATGTTGCCTTCTATTCAGGTTGAGACCCCTACTGTAGTCTAGTGAATGTCCCTTAGTGTGGATATATATATATGTATGGACTAGATAGCTATTGTTGAGATATCTAGAGTGTATCTGCGTATCGAGTCACTGTTTGGATTGTAGTTAGAGAAGAATTTGCATGTGGGCCTGACCCACTCTTATTTTTACAGGTGTTTGTTAGTTCCAGACTTGGAGCTGGATCGTGCTGAGCAGATACAGTTATTCACTCTACCGATGACCAGGGTTTTATTTCATATTTTAGACTTGGGTTTCATTTCCAATCTTTTGAGTTCAGTGAGATATTTTAGGGGTCCACTAGATGGATTCCCGAGTTGTAATAGAAATGGAGAAGTATGAAGTATCAGAATCATTCTTTGTTAATTAAATTTTATTCTGAGATTTTTGGATTATTATTCTAGTTCTTTTCAGCAATTTATTTATTCTTATTTTTCTTATTTGTATTCTGTGTTCGATTATTGCTAATTGATTTGATATCCTCGGGTTATAGGACGTGGGCCTGGCCAACCCGCATCAGGAAATTCGAGGGTATCACACTCTTCACGTTATCTCCCACAAATTTAACCCATCTCTGAACTCCCACTCCAACGCCAGTCTTCAGAACCTCGGTAACAAATTTTCATTGTAGAACTGTTCAGCAAACACGGGCCAAGTCACCATTGGCACCCCGGCACTCACTGCTTCCAGAGTCGAATTCCAACCACAATGACTCACGAATCCTTCTATTACTTTGTGGCCAAGAATCAACATCTGGGGTGCCCAACCTCTGATGATCAGTCCCTTCCCTTTCGCCCTCTCTTCGAACCCTTCTGGCAACCAATTTTCACTATTATCTTCTTCCTTCTCATCTCTCCTCACTACCCATATAAATTCTTGCCCAGAAGCCTCAAAACCCTTTGCAATCTCCACTAGTTGAGAATCTGGGAATCTCGTAACTGTGCCAAAACATACATATACAACTGAATTAGGCTTCTTGGAATCGAGCCATTTCAAGCATTCATGTGTGTTAATTGATGATTTCTTTCCTCTTACTGCCTTTTCGTCATTGTTTCTATTGGAAAGTACCATCGGGCTAACATGCCATGCTTTCTTTTCCTTCTTGTATAGTTCAGCATAAGCTGGTTCGAGCTCGTAGAAGCTATTAAAAATATTTCCATAGCTTCTGTCTGCTAACTCTCTTGTACTCCCAACCAATCTCGAAAGATCATGAAGCTGCGGTTTTATCATATTGATGTGATCGGGAAGGCCAGGAATTATAAAGGGTTCAGTATCTGATGACAAGTTCTGGTAAGGCTTGTTCTTGGTCACACTGTCCGGTGCACAGTGGAGAAAAAACAGGTACGATAAGCTAATCTAGGAATTCCGTGCTTGGCTGCTAGATCAGTCGCCCACGGGAAGAACCTATCTGCGACTAGGCCATTGGGGTGGCATTCTTGTAGAAGTTGTTCCAAAGGTTGTTGGAGCAAGTTTATGGCAAGGAAAAATTTGATATGGAGCTCTGGTGTAGTGACAAGGTCGAGGTTTTCGAGGCCTTCAGGAAGGCTAGCCTTTTTGGCTGGGAATGTGATGGCTCTGATGGTGATCATGTTGGTAGAAAGGCTTTCTAATCTTTGGATTGCTGGGGTAAAGATAGGGACATTGAGAGGAGTGGTGATTATGGTGGCTCTTACGCCACGGGCTGCGAAGAGCTTGGCAAGGTCGATGATTGGAAGTATGTGGCCTTGAGCCATTAGGGGAAAGAAGAAGAGGTGAAGATGTTTAGTTTCAGGATTCATCCTGTTACCTGTGCAGAGAGAGAGGAAGTGAGGTATTTTCGATGAGGATGTAACTTCTGATTATATGCAATATATAAGTAGGCTTGTCTGCTGGTGGTATAACTTGAAGTCGACAAAATGTAAGCCATGTGAAACACAAGTCCAATCTAGTTTAATGTTTTGTGAAGTTCAAGGCCTATGAAATAATCGTTCAACATGTTGAGATTTTACCTATTGTACAACTGTAGTATTGAATTATTTTCTCCTTAATTTAGGGCTAATTGGTAGGTAATTAGTTTCCCGATTACTGTATATTTAGTTACCTATTTTAGCTAGATATTACTTTATAAATTGAATGTAACACCAACGTGAATATTATTGAATTGAGTTTTGATTCTCATATTCTTTCTCTGAATTTGAAGGTGGTATCAGAGCCATTCTTGAACCGTAACTTTGAATCTCTTTAGATTTATCTTTGAAATTTAAAAACCCATACATACATACCCATACACAATCCAAAGACCCATCCCATACATATACAATCATCCATACCCATCATCCCTTTCACCAATCTGCCAACACAGAATCATCTTCCCTTTCACCAATCTACTTTCGTTGCCATCACAAGTTACTGCCATCACAAGCCGCAGCCGTCACAAGACACAGCCATCATAAGCCACATCGTCGTTGCCGGATCAAAATCACCTTTCATCGCTCACGCCGGATCAGCATCGCTGTCAGCCGTCGCCGGAGCCTGCCGAACCTCTGTCCATAGCTTTGCCGGTTCTTCTTCTCCTCGCTGGATCTTTGCAGGATCTACCTCAGTTGAACCAACCGCCTCTCTGCTACTGAACCGAACCAGCCGCCTTCTCCGTCATCAGATCGCCGGCTCCGGCTGCTATCCACGGCCATCGTTTTCCTTTGCCGAATCTGCCAAAGTTTTTTTTTTCTTTTGTTCTTGTTGTTTCTGTCTCTTAACAGAGACGAATAGTTCTTGAAATTTGTTTTTTGTTTTATTTTTAATATCTATATATATATATCAAAATTAAAAATTAAAAAAAAAAAAAAAAAAACGAAGATGACTGAAAAATCTATTGAATCCTCTGGGACGAAATTAGTTCCCATTTTTGTTCAATCTGAAGGTGTTTTTAATGCAGGGATTAGTCTTACTAAATCTAATTATGACGTTTGGTCCCAACTGATGGAGATGCATATTGCTGAAAGGGAAAAACTATCCTATATTCGTGGCAAGACTAAGCCACCTGCTGAATCAGAAGATGGTTATGATAAGTGGTATGCCGAAAATCAGAAAGTGAAGCGGTGGCTATTAATGTCCATGACTCCAGAAATTATGAAGCGTTATTTATGCTTACCTACTGCCCGTGAAATCTGGATTTCTCTATCAAAGGCTTTTTATGATGGGAATGATGAGTTGCAAGTTTTTGCCTTGAACCAAAAGGCCTTCACCGCCAAACAAAAGGGAAAATCTCTCTCTGAATGTATGGAGAGCTCACTGAAGTTTTCCGAGAAATGGACCATCGAGATAAAGTGGTCATGAAAGATCCAGATGACATTGAAGCATATCGGAAGTCTATCGAGCGACTAAGGGTTCACATTTTTCTTGTCGGATTAGATGGTGATTTTGAACAAGTTCGTGGAGAAATTCTACGCAACGATCCAGTTCTAAACTTGGAAGGCTGCTACTTGTTGGTTCGACGAGAAGCGGTACGTCGTGCAACTCTGAAAGGGGAATCCGAAAACTCTGAAGCTTCAATCATGATGGCTCGAAACAGGTCTAAGCAAAACTGGCAGGATCGTTCTAAACCTTATTAATTTAAAGCCATCAACGGTGCAAACAAGTCTACCTACAAATGCACCCATTGCAATCAGACTGGTCATACCATAAGTCGTTGTTTCGAACTTGTGGGATATCCGGAATGGTGTGATCATAGTCGTTGGAAGAAGAATTCAACGAAGACCTCCACTGCCGCAATTGTTAAGACAGATAATGATGATGCTGACAAGGCCTTGGGGTTGGTAGTAACTGGAGATCATGGTGGTAAGGTTTTAAATATTTCTACACCTGTTGTTAATAGTGCATGGATAATTGATTCTGGTGTTACAGATCATATGACATTTGATTCTAGATAGGTTTCCCCGCTTAATTCCTCCCCACAACAATTTGTTTCTATTGCTAATGGAACTACGACCCAAGTTATTGGGGAAGGATCGTTGACACTCACTGATAATCTAAATTTAGATTCTGTTTTGGTTGTTCCATCTTTATCTTATAATCTTTTGTCAGTTTCCCAAATAACCACAGCTTTATCTTGTGTTGTAATTTTTTGGCCTGATTTTTGTGTGTTTAAGGACATCCAAACAAAACAGACGATTGGTTGTGGTATTAAGCGAAGGAAGCTGTATTACTTGGACTTGCTGTCAAAAAGTTCCGACAAGCTACGACAAGCATTGACAGTAGATGGTTCTGAAGGAGAGAAAAAGAAATCTGAAATCTGGCTGTGGCATCGACGTCTCGGGCATGTTTCCTTTGGTTATCTGAAAAAATTATTTCCTAGTTTATTTAAAATTTTTGATGGTTCTAGTTTACGCTGTGATGTTTGTGAACTAGCAAAGAGCCACCGTGCTTTGTTTCCATTATGTTTGAATAAAAGTCCCCTTCCTTTTATGGTTATACATTCTGATGTTTGGGGTCCTTCCAAAGTTCTTACTTTAGGTGGATCACGTTGGTTTGTTACTTTTATTGATGACTGTACCAGGATGACCTGGTTGTGCTTGATAAAATCCAAAAGTGAAGTGAACTTATTGTTTCAAAAGTTTTATAAAATGGTTGCAACTCACTACAATGCACATGTTCAAGTTCTCCGTAGTGACAATGGTGGAGAATATCAGAGTTTTGACCTTCAACAATATTTGGAAGCACATGGAACTTTTCATCAAACCACTTGTTCCAATACACCCTTGCAGAATGGGGTTACAGAGCGAAAAAATCGCCACTTATTAGAAGTTGTTCATGCTTCCTTGATAGATGCTCATATGTCGTTATCGTATTGGGGAGAAGTACTTGTCTCTGCAGCATATTTAATCAATAGAGTACCTTCTACCTCTGTTGACTTCCAGACACCATTGCAGGCTCTACTGACACCATTGTTGCCCCAACCGTCCCAAATCTACCTCCTCATGTCTTTGGTTGTGTAACATTTGTACACCTCCATAAACATCAACGCAATAAGCTAACTTCTCGAGCGTTGCGATGTGTTTTTCTCGGATATGCTACTCATCAAAAGAGGTATCGCTATTATCACCCTCCAACTCGACGAATGTTTATAACCGTAGATGTTGTCTTCCATGAAGACTCGATGTATTTTTTCTTTGCGTCTGAACGTCAGGGGGAGTACCAGAAAGAAATTCAAACTCTAGATTATGATTATCACATTTTTTAGGACGGCGATTTTGGTGGTAATGACTCACAAGTTGGACCAGCCAATCAGGAATCGGGCGAATTGGATTCAAGTGGTATAAGTTTGGATCAAAGTGGTGATGACCGCCCCAAAATGGAAAGTATGGCGCCAACTCCACCGTTATTCGAGTTTGAGTCCCTTGCAACTGATATATCAAACCAATCGCCTGCTGAGGATGTTCCTAATTCAGTGCCTGAGCCACTCAGAAAACAATTACCACAGCGTCACACTAAAGGTATTCCTAAACCCACATATGAACCCGAACTTTCTAGTAAAGTTAAGTATCCCATGAGTCATTATGTGTCGAACCATCATTTGTCAGAATCAAATTTGTCATTTGTAAATCAATTATTTACTGTATCTATTCCTAACAGTGTGCAGGAAGCTTTAGCTGACCCTAGGTGGAAAGCAGCTATGAACGAGGAGATGAAATCCTTACAGAAAAATAAAACTTGGGAACTCATTGATCCTCCACCAGGAAAGAAACCAGTAGGGTGTCGATAGATTTATACTGTGAAGTATAAAGCCGATGGCACAGTTGAACGCTTTAAAGCAAGATTGGTGGCAAAAGGTTACACTCAAACCTATGGAATTGATTATATAGAGACGTTTGCACCTGAAGCCAAAATCAACACAGTTCGTGTCTTGTTTAGTTGCAAACTTGGATTGGCTATTACAACAATTCGATGTGAAGAATGCCTTTCTGTATGGTAAATTATCTGAAGAAGTCTACATGGATCTCCCACCAGGATGCATGATACCTGAAAAGTATAGTCGGAAAGTCTGCAAGTTAAAGAAATTATTATATGGGTTGAAACAATCTCCGAGAGCATGGTTTGGAAGATTCACAAAGTCGATGATAGCCTTTGGCTACCGTCAGAGCAATTCAGACTACACATTATTCCTAAAGAAACAACAGGGTAAGATCACTGCACTTATTGTATATGTAGATGACATGGTGGTTACAGGGAATGATCCTGAAGAAATGAAGGCTCTCAAGAAGTACTTGTCCAGAGAATTTGAAATGAAAGATTTAGGTCCTTTGAGATATTTTCTTGGGATCGAAGTATCTTGGTTTAATAAAGGAATCTTTCTATCTCAAAAAAAAATATGCCTTAGATCTATTACAAGAGATTGGCATGACAGCATGTCAACCAGCTGAGACGCCAGTGGAAGAAGGATTGAAATTATGTGTTGAGTCCAACCAAGTACCTGCTAATAAAGGAAGATACCAAAGACTTGTAGGGAGATTGATGTACTTAGCACACACAAGACCGGATCTGGCTTCTACATTGAGCATTGTTAGCCAGTTTATGCATGATCCTAGAGAGCAACATATGATTGCAGTTATGCCCATTTTGAGGTATCTGAAATCTGCTCCTGGAAAAGAAATTTTGTTCACTAAAAATACTGGTTATCAAAACATAAATGCATATACTGATGCTGACTGGGCTGGAGCTATAGATGATAGGCGATCTACTTCTGGTTACTTCACTTTTGTAGGAGGTAATCTTGTTACATGGAGAAGTAAGAAAGAAAATGTTGTTGCTCGCTCGAGTGCAGAAGCTGAATTCAGAGGTATGGCACTTGGACTTTGTGAAACTTTGTGGTTAAGACTTCTCTTGCGGGATTTGGGTTATCTACCTGGGCAACTGATTCGACTATATTGTGACAATAAAGCAGCATGTGATATTGCCCATAATCCAGTTCAACATGATCGTACAAAGCATGTCGAAATAGACAGATTCTTCATTAAGGAAAAGTTGGATGGAAAAATTGTGGAGTTGCCTAATATTCGATCTGAGGATCAACTAGCCGACATTCTCACTAAAGCAGTCTCAAATCAAGTGTTTTCAAAAATTTTAGACAAGTTGGGCATGTGTGACATCTATGCACCAACTTGGGGGAGAGTGTTGAGATTTTACCTATTGTACAGTTGTAGAATTGAATTATTTTCTCCTTAATTTAGGGCTAATTGGTAGGTAATTAGTTTCCCGATTATTGTATATTTAGTTACCTATTTTAGCTAGATATTACTCTATAAATTGAATGTAACACCATCGTGAATATTATTGAATTGAGTTCTGATTCTCATATTCTTTCTCTGAATTTGAAGACAACATGGTATAGAGAATCAAAAGAAAGAGAGTTGGAATCGGTGCTATTTAAAATAATTATTTTTGCTTAGGCTCTGTTTCGACATTAAATATATATATTTTAAAATATATATATTTTTTATGTAAAATATTCTTTTATTTTTATTTTATCAATATTTGGCAAAGATTTACGTCGAAGTTGAAATCGAGCCCATCGAGCGGGGCATGTAAAATAATTTGCCGAAAATTTATGAATAAATTATTTTTGTTAAATTTTAATATTTTTTTTCTTTGTCAATATTTTACGACAACCAAACACCAAAAAATATTTTTTTAAAAATATTTTACGTCTAAACAAATGAAACCTTAGTGTAAAATGAACATAATGTAAACTTACAAAACATATCAATCAAATTTGAAGACCTGAGTTATAACACCAATTTTATACTATCTTATAAATTGATATCAACTGAAGATATCATAATCCATTATAAATTGATATCACTTGAAGATATCAATCCTAACTCGTCAGTTAAGTTCAGATATCACACCAATCGTGCAAAACTTTTTTTCGTTATAAAACAAGTTTAACAGCTAGCATGGCAGTTTGAAAAATTTGTGATACAACATGCCAATAATGACATGCAACCTATATCAAAAATATAAAATCAAAGAATTCTTCTGACTGGTGGATTCAGAATTTCTAGTTTGGGTGGGATAACATTAAACATGAATACTAAGGAATTAGTTTGGGCCTTTATTTTAGTATGGTGGCTGAGTTTACTTGGACTTCACTGAATTTTTGGGGTGGGCTAATACTATTAAATTTTTTTTTTTTTTGGGACTGGACTAATATATTAGTATAGTAAAAAAAAAAAAAAAAAAAAAAATTTGAGGTGGGCTACAGCTCACCTTTGCCTACCCCTGTGTTTGCCCCTGAATTTTTGAGTCCTTATCATGGCCTAATACCAGCTCTCCCTAATTTTGTAAAGTAATACTTGCATCCTGCGCAGGGAGGATGAGCTTCATCCTCCCTGCTGACGTGGCGTCCTTCCATGCTGACAAGTGTTCAGAAGTAAAAAATAATAAAAATATGTGTAATACCCATTTGTGCGGGTCAAACCTTTTTTTCACCCCTCTCTCTCTCTCTAATTATAGCCTAAAGAGGAGAAGCAAACCTTAGATTTTTGGGAAAATTAGATCTAAAACAAAGATGAGTAAACCCATTCAATAAATAAAAATACAAAAACTGCAGTAACAAGAATTGATATGAATATACCTGAATGGCGGACAAGTGCCGGAGATAGAACTGTTGAACCTGGGTGTTAGCCTTATCATAAATTAAAGACTTACAAACCTTACTGTCCATCAAACAACTCTTGATCTTATTCCAGTTCTTGGTACTACTAACCCTTTTCTGCAACCAGTTGGAGTAATCACCCAACCTATACTCCTTATACCCTCTACCCGATGTTGCCTCTCCAGCTCCCTTGTTGGTCACCACGAATGCGAAGATAGTGAAGTAGAAGAGAAGCACGATGAGGATGAACATCACGAAGAGGTAGATCCACAGGAGCAACGACACGCGACAACACGCGCCGATTAGGCCGGCCAGTGAGACCAGCATCAGGAAAACGCCCAGCGCGATTTCAGGTTTCTCCAGGAACCTCTCGCACTCAGTTGTTCCCCGCTGTGAAAGCCATATTCCGGCAACGACGATTGGGTTTGCGGCGCAATTTGAGAGAAAGAGAGAGAAAGGGGTTGAAAAACGGGTTTGACCCGCGCAAATAGGTATTACCCATATTTTTATTATTTTTTACTTTTGGACATTTGTCAGCATGGAGGGACGGCACGTCCGCGGGGAGGATGAAGCTCATCCTCCCCGCGCAGGATGCAAGTATTACTCAATTTTGTAGCAATTTTTTGCCTTCTTTATCTTTAGTGTTTTGCAACATGGAATAATATCTGCCCTCTCCCCGGTCCGATGCACTAGAGAGGATTTTCATCCAACAACACGCTCATGTAGTTGATAAGGGCACAAAACTCATTATTTTATGTACTCAATATATATAATTTAGTAGCATTTGCATTATTTAAATATTATTAGATATATGTGTTTGGCTGTAAAAGTGGTCGGCTCCGATGAAATCGGATGGACGTGCCAAGAACTACAGTAGTTCCGAATAGAGATCCAAACAATATTCCAGATGGAAGATTGCAAGACCAGACGACTATGATGAGGTCTGGAATGAACACCGTAGGGTTCTTTTTGCCTTTGAAAAAGGACTTCGGGATAGTTAACTGGTTAAAAATGAACGAATTACTTGAGAAAGTAATTGACTGGAATGTAAAATTATCAACTGAAAAGTAAAGTGCGGGACTAAGACTAATCATATTGAAAGTGCATTGCAATGAAAATAAAGATTGTATTGAAATGCGTATTTGGTTTGGTGTTAAGCAGCCTTCTAAGTTACAATATCATGCCCTATTTATAGAATTTAGTAATGGTAACTTACATATAACTGCTTACTTCCTAAGCTATCATGTGTCCCATGACTTTGCATCTAACCGCTTACTCCCTGGGCTACCATGTGCCCCAAGACTTTTCACTAGAACGTCGTATAGTACAATTCCATTAGAATCGACCAGCTTCCTAAGCTGTCATGTGTCCCATGACTTTGCATGTAACCGCTCGCTTCCTAGGCTGCCACGTGTCCTATGACTTTGCATGTAACCGCTCACTTCTTAGGCTGCCATGTGTCCTATGACTTTGCTTGTAACCGCTCACTTCATTGGCTACCATGTGTCCCAAGACTTTCCATTTGAACGTCGTAGTACTTTTCTATTAGAATCGTCTTAGCACTTTGCTTGAACTAACTTACTCTTTAGCAATGACTTCATATGCAATTATATATGAATGAAGTGCATAGTCTATTGCTAATATATATATAGGAACATATGAATGATGATATGATATGCATGGTCCTATAAAGATGAGTTTCAAATGGATTCATAAATACTCACCATCCTATCTAATCCTTTCTTCACACTTTGTCCATGATCATGTAGGCTTTCAGGTATACTTGTTTTCTTTCTTTCTTTGAGTTGCTTTTTTGCTCGTTGTAGTCCAAGCTATCTTTGGATGGACTTTGCATTTGGTTCCTTGCAACTATACGTTCATTTGTCTCATTTGCTTTCCATAGATATGATCTTGAGTAATGGAATACTTGGAATTAACTTTATGATCTTCATTGAGGTTCTTCTTTGAATGTGAATAATCTATATAACACTCAATGTAAACATTAGTCTTTAAACACCATTAATGGTTTGTTATCATCAAAACCTTTAGATTGTCCTTGAATGGAATCCTTAAGGTCAACAATAACATTACTTTATGTTATATTTCTGATTGAGAAGTGTTTTCGCATAATTTTAAAAGAATATAGGTGTTTTTAACACACTTTTTCAAATAGGGGGTGAAAGTGTTATGTAAAGTATACATTGAGGTGTTTTTTTGTATTTGACCTTTTTTTTATGATTTTATTTATTTAAAAAATGCTTATGTAATCAAAATGAAAAGATCAATGCTATACTTCTCGAATAAAATTAGAGGTATGTATCTCAAATATGATGTGGCGCTAATAAAAAGATGAATATGTACTCAATTTTAATAGATATTATACGTTATTTTTCTTCTTGTTGAAGTATTAACAAAGTTATAATTAAATTAAGAAAGTAGACAAAATAAGCAAATGATTCCGATTATACATATATGTGTGAATTACCCATTAAAGGAGAAGTGAAGACCAACATTAAATTAGGTTTCTCTCTTTAATTTTCTTTTCTCTTCTGCACTTTGGACTTTATAATTATGATAAACATAAAGTTGATCATCTATTTATCAAATTATTTACTCATGTAAAATTTTAAGGTCCTTATTGAAGAGAAAGAGGACTCAAAATATAATTGTAAGAAGTTTTAAGTGAATTATGTATTATCTGATTATTTTTATAATAATAAAAAAAAAATTAGTTGAGAAAGTTAGAATTTTTATTGAAAAGAAATAGTTAACCCCTTAAAACATCTCTAAATAGTTATTTTGGTGTTTAGTTACGATAAATAATTTTTTCTTATTTCTTCTCTCATCCTACCATGTATTCTCTAAGAAAATCTCTTTTAGAAAATTATCATTCGTTACAAAATTATCATCATATTATCTGTTATGTAATTAAAGTTATTTTCGTAATAGAGTAATTTATAATTTATAATATTTTCTAAATGAAAATAAGTGATTAAGTAACTGAGAATTGACACCTCGACAGCCGGGAGGGGGAGGGGGTCATGCGGCCATACTAGTGAACCAACACAACCCCCTCCTTCCCCACAATCAAATAAATTACTAAATTAAAATAATAAGTTTTACTACGGGGTACACGATTACGAAATGAGCGGTGCTACACTGCCCTACTGTATTTCACCCGACATCTACCAACTCATCTACGTGGTTGTCCACGTTGCCATTTTCTCTCTCCGTCTTTTATGATGCCAATAGTTTGTCGATGATGCCCATTTTCTCTTTCTATATTCTCTTCCCTGCTCCGAGCTTACTCAATTTAATGTAAACAAGAAGTGACCTATGGGAAAACTTCTAACGCCACCAGAGAGAATCCCAATCCACAACCGTAGCCACCATCTCTCCTCAACCACAATCGCCACCATTATCTCCCTCCTTATACCGCCACCGCTTCTCAACCACAGCCGCCGCCACCACCACTTCTTCTCCACCACAACGGCCGCTACCATCTCTCTCCACGCAGTATCACATATCTCTTATTTCTTCTGTGTTTGATACACATACATATATTTATATACACAGGCCTATACACACATATTTCCAACTGAAATCATATAGTGCCCAAAATTCAAGGGCGGATCCAGGATTTCTAGTTGGGGTGGGCTAATTTTAACTTCGAAGAGGGTTCATCAGTGAGAGCTTAGAACTTAACTTTGAAGTGGGTTCGCTCCAAGTTGAATCAAAACCCATCAAAAAACAGATCGTTTAGGCATCGCCGTGTCGACGAAGCTCTGGCCTCTTGGATCAACCCGTGTCATCCTTTTGACGCAATCGTCGTCATGAAGCTCGCCGTACCTATTCATAAAACTCGCCGGAAATGGGTTTTCGTTTGGTCACCAATTGGGTCTGTAAGAGGATAAACAACCAACCAGAACCAAGATCAATTAGAACGGAAAATAACGAATCCAGTGAACGGCGAATCATATGGTGAATCCGGTGAACGGTGTCGTAGGACTCATCTGGTCGATAACTGGCACGCGTGCCTGGCGGTTGTGGGAGGTCGGCGTTGTCAAACTCATCTGGACTCTGAAGGGAGAGAGATGAGAGGCGCCGCAGGAGAAAGAATAGAGAAAGATAAGAGGATTGAAAGGGATAATACTCGCCTACGTAACGGTGAGTAGGAAGTTTATCAATGTAATGTTAAAATAACCAGTGTACTTATATTTAAAATAATAAAAATTAAATAATTTGATAATTAATCGGGTTAAACTTAAATGAATCCGAATTAAATCTTAATTCTCCCTCCTCTCCCTCGTTCTTATTTTCACGCTTCCCTAATCTCATCCGCCTCTCTCTCACCCTTTTCTGTCACGCTCTCATATTTTTAGAGAGAGAAACCCCTCTCGTGTCTCTGGATAACTGAAAGAAGAGAAGTAGATGCGTGCATAAGAGGAAAGAGAAGATCAAGAAGTTTTGAGGTAAGTAAATATATTTTCTCTTTCAATTAGGTATTGAATTTCTAGTGGGATCAATTATTTAGATGCCCTCTTCTGATTTTATGTTTCAAATATCTAACTTGAAAGAATCATATTTGTACGGAAAGTTTGGTATTGATCAGTTATTGTTAAAGACAAAAAAACTGGGTAATGACATTTACTACATTCTGTTTCGTAGAAAAAAAAAAAAAAATTCAGTAAGATTGTCCATATAAAACCTATTGCATTTGCCGTAAGATTGTCCATGTAATCTTAGATATGTTTGGTTTAGATGAATTTTTTAGTATTGTAGAACTACTTTTATTTAGTTTTGTACAACTAAAATAGACTATATATAGCCTGCAAAAAAAATAAAAAAAAACTAGTGAAATACAGCTCTCTTGTATGAGTTCAATATGAACTTAGTGGACAAGTCAGAACTTAAAAATGACCATATCTTCAACATCCAGCTTCTTCCTTTACCACACTATATTTTAAGAAGAAGAAGAGAAGTACATGCAGAGGAGGAAAGAGAAGACCAAGAAGTGTTGAGGTAAGTAAATAGAGTCTCTTAAATTAGGGAGTTGTAACTTATAGCTTGATTGGGAGTTGCACATGAAGAAGAACCACCTAATTAGTGAATGATGAAAGGTCCCTCTTGGTTAATTTCTGCATGTGTTTTAAATTTCGTGATTGCAAATTCAATCAATCATTGCCCATCATGACAATCAAATTGCTTGTTAATTTCTGCATCTGCGTGAGGCTTTGCCGTGGACATAGCTCGAATCTAATTGTCTTGCTTCCTTTGTGGCTTAGTAAACTATACCTATATCAAAAATTACGTATCCTTCAAGTGCAACACTGATGTAGGAAATTTAACTCTGCTCATCACTTTAGGAGTTTATAAATTTCGTGATTGCAAATTTAATCAATCATTGTCCATCATGACAATCGAATTGCATGTGTGTTGTAAGAATTAAACAGCTTTAAAAAAAATACATGATCTTTGTTTCTTGGTTTTGTCTTGTAGTTCTCTTTGACCGGTAGTTTTTTCTTTGAGTCTGTCAAAAGGATATGCGACTTTGGCTGGAGGAAAAACTATCAAGGAGGAAATTATCAGATCAATGAGTCAGTGATCAATCACTATAGGGTTTCAAAGTCAATTGTCGTTGTTGGACTATGTTCTCTCTTTTTAGTAAAGATATTTGATTTGTAATTTTTTTTCTATAGAGTTTCAAAGTCAATTGTCGTTGTTGGACTATGTTCTCTCTTTTTAGTAAAGATATTTGATTTGTAATTTTTTTTCTATAGAGTTTCAAAGTCAATTGTCGTGATAGGTTTGTTAGTTATTTGGACCATGTTATCTCTTTTTTAGTAAAAGTGTTTGGTTTGTAAATCATTTTTTCTCTATTAGAATGCTACTCTGTTCAATAATGACACTATCGGTTTTCAATTAGTTTATACGATTTGAATAACAAAATGATAGGATCAATCTCATGTTGAGATTTTGAAACACCATGGAATAAAGAAACCACCACTCGATTCTCCTCCACTTGGGGGAAAAGTCACTTCTAGTTTTCAAGAAGTAAACTTTACACATCTAAATAGGAAAAGAAAAAAATATATTTGAACTTTTTTTTTTTTTTTTGGGGTAAAAACTTTTATATTTTGATTTAATAAATATTCTTAAATCTAAAAATCATAAGGACAAATATGTACAATTGTTATAAAAATATCTGTTTTCGCAATTTATCACTAACCTCAATATAAACCGCCATTTTCACGTATATAAATTGAAATTATAGACTTCTTCTCCTATTGCACCAAGTAATAGTCTAAACTTATGAGAAATTCACATAGTACAATGACCATGAGATTAATTTGCGTGTTTTTTAAATCATATTGTGCCCAAAAGAAAGGGGGAAAAAAAAAACTAAATTGTAATATAAGATATAAATGATAAAGAGAGCACAGAACCCCAAAAAAAAATGGATTGGGCTACGATACATATTCCTCTCTAATGGGCTGAGAAGTCTAAGATAATTCTTAAAAAGGAGGAGTATCATCACTTCTGAGCCGAAACATGTCAAGTCCATATGAGACACTGTTTTTTCATAAAAGAAAATTTATAGTTAAAATATCTAAAATTATGGTAACGACCACCAAATTGGTGTTGTAGAATTAGAATTGAATTAATTGAATTTTGAAAAAAAAATTACTTAAATATCGCAACAAAAGCTTGCATTTAGATTCACATAATTGGAATTGCATTGGATTGAAATTTTAATTCATTGAGTTGGAATTCAATCACTATAATTGGAAGTACCAAATCAACGTCTCAAACTTGAAATTAATAAAATTCAGTTTAAATTTAAGCTGAGCTTTATCTAATTTTAAATTTAAAATACTGATACGATGCACCAAAATATATTTAAATTAAATTTGAAATTAATTTATAATTGAAGTCTAATTCAATACATGACTTTCTCTTTATCGTTTAAAAGCTTACTTGAGCAGTTGAGCTTTGTAAATTTTATTTGTTGGTATGCAACCTGTTCCTTAGAAGTTAGAATTGGCCCGTCACGAAATTCTTGACATCAATAAATATACTAATTTTGTCCAAAAAAATTTGAATTCTTCAAACTACAGAACACATTTAGGAATGAAATTATCATTAAAAAAAATTAAAGATATAATGAGGGTACTCTCAGTACAAATTTTAAGTGATAATTAAAAATAAACTCGTATCGAAATTTACCGTCTCAATAATTTTTGAAGTGAATTAGTAAAATGAAGCATCAAATCGTGGAATGTAGAAAACATCGGACGGTGTGGAGGTGAGGATTACTTTGCTACTGTGCACACGCGAGTAATTTACAGAGGATGAAAAATGAGCTCAGAAAAATTAGGAGTAAAACTAGCGCCGTGACCAACATTTCACATGCAAATCCAAGACTTTTGACTTCGCCTTGTAAAACTAGGCTGTATAGAACATTTCACACTAAAATCCAACAAAAACAGCTGGTTCTGGTTTTGACTCTGCCTCCCATATTTTTTTTCGGAAATTAGTTTTGATTCGCCTATAAAACATGACAATGCGTTATAAACTCTCAATTCAAATCACAAGTGAGAGATATGGCGATGAATCGTGTAGCCGCGTCTGCAATTCGGGCATTCGCTTCACCTGGAAATTCATCTTCATTGATTCTTAATAGACAACTTGTAAGCCATTTTAACATCTCGCAATCTCGTGTCTCATTTATCGACATGTAACAATTGACCATTAGACATGAGCGTGAGCTCACCATAGCTTGAGAGCTGACACTCACCTTTCTTAATATGTTGTTACGGTGGTTAAGTTTAGAGAATTTCTTATTTTTAAAAAATTAATATGGAGTTGGACCAATCTGGTGGAGCCCATACCATCCATTCACAATGTTTTATTTTGAATCTGTCCAAGTATGCCTTGTTCTTAAATGGTTGTGTGTCTCATTGTAAACAGTCCTCTTCTGGAAGCAAAAAGATAGTTGGTGTGTTCTACAAAGCAAATGAATATGCTTCCATGAATCCCAATTTTGTTGGGTGTGCAGAAAATGCCTTGGGCATAAAGGACTGGTTGGAATCCAAAGGTCACCACTACATTGTCACTGATGACAAAGAAGGCCCTAATTGTGGTAAGTGTGTCAACAACAATATTACTCTATGTATTTTATTGCATTCTTGATTGTAGAGGCTAACCAAGATCTTGTGTTTATATGATTCTTTCTTGCAGAACTTGAAAAGCATATTCCGGATCTCCACGTGCTGATAACCACCCCTTTCCATCCGGCCTACGTTACAGCTGAAAGGATCAAGAAGGCCAAGAATTTGCAACTTCTGCTCACAGCTGGAATTGGGTCTGACCATGTTGATTTGAAGGCTGCAGCTGCTGCAGGTTTAACGGTTGCAGAAGTCACTGGAAGCAACGTCGTGTCGGTTGCAGAGGATGAGCTCATGAGAATCCTGGTTCTTTGCAGGAATTATCTGGCGGGATACAATCAAATTTGCAAGGGTGACTGGAATGTTGCAGGTTGTTCTTATAGAGCTTATGATCTTCAAGGAAAGACTGTGGGAACTGTTGGTTGTGGACGTATTGGTAAGCTTTTGCTTCAACGGTTGAAGGCTTTCGACTGCAATCTACTGTATCATGATCGGCTCAAGATGGATGCGGAAATGGAGAAATTAACAGGGGCAAAGTATGAGGAGAATATGGACTCCATGCTTCCCAAATGTGACATAGTTGTCATCAACACACCTCTTACCGAGAAAACCAAGTAAGCCCTTTCAAGACATTATAAATGTTGTTTGACGTACATTTTTGAACTGTAATAAAAACTAATGAGGATAAATACTGGATTGGCTTTAGAGGGATGTTCGACAAAGCTAGGATTGGTAAGCTGAAGAAGGGAGTTCTAATTGTTAACAATGCTCGAGGAGCAATCATGGATACACAAGCTGTTGTTGACGCTTGCAATAGCGGACATATTGCTGGTAATTTCCAACATTTTGAATTTTACGAGATATGGATGTTGTGAGTACATGCAACATTTAACTAGTGTTTTCCTTTTGATTCATAGGTTATAGTGGAGATGTTTGGAATCCACAACCAGCTCCAAAGGACCACCCTTGGCGATACATGCAAAACCAAGCTATGACCCCTCATTTTTCTGGCACTACAATTGATGCTCAGGTATATATTCAAGCTTTAATTTTTTAAAAAATATATTGTTTTATATTTCAATATAGTTGCTTCTTTTGTTGTGTTTCTTATTTGTAACTCAAATACAAAAAATTGGAATGATGCAGCTGCGATACGCGGCGGGAACGAAGGACATGCTGGATAGGTGGTTCAAGGGAGAAGATTTTCCAGCTCCAAATTACATTGTCAAGGCTGGTGAACTAGCAAGCCAGTACCGTTAATGGGAGATGATGGTAGCAAGGCTTGTGCTCAAGTTGTTCTCACATTTTGATCTTGAACTAAAAGAGGTCTGCATCTGCTGCTTGACTTTGTTGTCAGCAAGCAAGTATAAATAATATATACACTGTTCTATTATTATAGAGCTGCAAGGAGTGATCAACGCATGCAATTGTACCAATCTCTCACCCAACTTAATAATATATACATCTTTTATTATATAGCATGGTATTTTGTTGATGCATTGCGTTTATGATTTTGAGAGAAACCCTCCATTGAGCAACAATTTAAAGCTATCCCAATGAATAAGTTTAGTCCTATTTTTTTTTTTTTTTTTATTATAATGATCAAGACAGTTTTACCATTTTTATGACTCGTTTCAGACTTCGATTTCATGAAGTTTGTAAGCTTAAGAACTCTCAATGAAAAATACAACCATCACTAAGCTCTCACAGTTCAATATAAACATAAACTATTTTTCTACAGTACAGTTGGTTTTTTAGTGATAATTCAACTCTAATTTTGACAGTAACTCATGAATAATGATGTTAAAAGGCATTGCTTAAAATACACTTAAATCACTTTAGCTTATTCCAAATCTAACAAGTTTCAGCTTAAGTTACTATGGTATTTTATGTTGCATTATTTTTTCCTATTCACTAAGAAAGGAACAACTAAATGAAAATGACGAGTGAAGTGCATATAAGAATCGGCAAGTTATAAATATAACCAAAAAGTTAAATAAATAAAATTAGACAAGTTATAATAAATATTTTTTTTTGTCTTACTTGAGTCAAAACATCAGCGGTTTGAATTCCACATCCAACATCACTTAGCTCGAATGAATTACCACTATTGAGTGTAGAACCCTGTATATATATATACATACTAGTAAGTTTACCTTGACACATAATCACCCCCCCCCCCAAAAAAATAATAATAATCATAAGTTAATTTCTTCTTTAAATTTAAAATGAATACCTTAATGGATACGTGTTGACTCATAGGTGTTGTGGTCGATTTAATGTGTGATTTACGCCTCCGTTTTTCAAGTGAGCTTTTCAGTCGACCCCGTGGACTTCCAACAGTGGCTTTCTTTTTGACCCCATAAACTTCTTTTGCCACATAATTGGCAAGTGGATCCCCGATACTTCCATCATCTAGAGAAAGTGTTTTCTTCATTAACTCTAAATCCTTAAGCAATTGAATAGAACGTTCATGTGCATATGCAGATAGCTTCTCATGTTCTGCTGCCAAAGTTGCAATCTCACGAAAATTGCGACACAAATTACTATAACGCTTTCCCATAGACTCCTTTGGACTATCATTAGACTTGATCACATGATAATTAATGATACTTCTAGCTTTGGCATCTCCCGTCCACCTCTTCATGATGTATTGAGACAGAATTCTTTTGATATTTTTCTTATCTAACACCTTCAATGCATGTGCGCATAGTATGCCAACAAAAGTGAACTTCATACAACTGCACGTGACTGTTTCTGTTGAACCCTTAAATTTGACCAAATGCTCTCTAGATTTGCCAACAGAAGATACTTTGTACTCAGATGTCATCCCAACTTTACCAACTTTATATATACAATAATTGCCCCAACTCATGTACTCTCTCTGAAACAATTCAAAAACCTCTGGGGTATAAACCTCTACTGCATGTTTTAACATCTCTGCATTGGTTAATAACATTGGTGTAGTTCACGTAATCTAGAAATCTGCATGTAATTCTTCGTATCGTCGATCTGCCAAAAACCTCTCATAATGTTCAAAGAATCTTAAAAGGTCATGTCTAGGTTTTAAGTAGTTCTTCAACACATTGTTCATACTTTCACTGCGTTGTGTGCTTTTCATATCTACAGTAAAAGTGTGTCGTCCGTACACCATTGCCCATTTTTCTCTTACTTCAAATAAATCCTTCAACCTTTTATTCTTCTTTAAACAATAATTCTCAAGCATGTTATTCCAAGCCAATAACCAATCGTCTTCATCTTCATAGTCATATACACACTTGCTAAGATCGTGAGCAAATTCGCTTGATCTATGAAACACATGACTCAAATTCTTGGCAGGGTTCTGATAAATGTGCAAAACACACAATCGATGGTGAGTTTCAGAAAACACATTTGAAATTGCTTTGGCCATTGCTGCAGATTGATCTGTAAGAATTGTCTTTGGTTGTTTTCCAGACATGGCACCAAGAAAAGGCTCAAATAACCACTTAAACGAATCAGCGGTTTCATCATATAATAAAGCTGCACCAAATATCACTGTTTGCTTATGATGATTAACTCCAATAAATGGTGCAAAAGGTCGGCCATAATCATTTGTTCGATAAGTTGTGTCAAAGCAAATAACATCTCCAAAGAGGCCATAATCAGCCACTGAACGTGCATCTGCCCAAAAAATATTGGTGATCATATCATCCTCATCCAGTTGAAGTGAATAAAAATAAGATGAATTCTCTGATTGCATCTCCTGAAAATATTGCAATATAGCCCCAGCATCTCCCTTTTCCATTGTTGTATTTCGTTTTCTATGCATGTAATTTCTGTAATCTTTATCCAAAAATCCAAGATGCTCTCGTCCTCCAACTTCTCTGCTCATTAAATCTACAGTTGCTTTAATTGGTATTCTCGATTTATTTGCATCATCTGCATGTACTTTTTGAGCTCTAGATATACTTCGATTAACTCTTAGCATGTGCTTCATAGGAGTACAATCAATTCATGATTATGGCATCCATGGAACGAAACAATCTTGGATTTCCCATTTTTTTGAAGTAGACATGTCATATTGGCCTCACAACCAACCCTCGAAATTGGTTGATGATACAATGAATTTTTATATCGTTTGTCTTCTTTTCTATGACCTTGTTTTGAACAACAAAAGGTAACCCTTGTCATGAATCCCTTTGAATTTTTTTTTTTTTGATGATGTTTTCTGACATCGAAACCAATTTTTCCACCATATTTGACATAAAACTCATACGGACTATCGTCTGAGCTAAATTCCATCCCAAGTGTTGGTTCTTCACTTCTCTCTTGATTTGCTTTCTTGGATTCATCGCATTTTGAAGATTCTTCATTAGTAGGAGAAGGGCAATAATTATCGGCTTGTAAATTACTTTCGCATTCATCTGGTTGCTCCTTGCTTAAGTTGATATGATCCATGTTCTCCATTACCCTGTATTTAACTAGTTACAAAAATAGGTGGAAAATTGATTTAACTCTAAAACAAAACTAATACAGAGCTTAAAAAAAAATGATCCTGAACCAAGCTTGTATTTAACCTGTACTTACAAAGGCTACGATTTTGTTCTCGGTAGCAGCCATTCACATAATAAAATAGTATTTTTAAAAAATAGAGTTCAAATCAAATGATCTGAACCAATCCATTCAATGGGGATTAAAATATAGAGTGTGGTAAAGGGAGAAGCTGGATGTTGAAGATATGGTCATTTTTAAGTTCTGACTTGTCCACTAAGTTCATATTGAACTCATACAAGAGAGCTGTATTTCACTAGTTTTTTTTTTTTGGCTGGCTATATATAATCTATTTTAGTTGTACAAAACTAAATAGAAGTAATTCTACAATACTAAAAAATTCAACTAAACCAAACATATCTAAGATTACATGGACAATCTTACTGCAAATGCCATAGGTTTTATATGGACAATCTTACTGAATTTTTTTTTTTTTTTTTTTTTTTAACGAAACAGAACGTAGTAAATGTCATTACCCAGTTTTTTGTGTTTAACAACTAACTGATGAATACCAAACTTCGCATACAAATATGATTCTTGCAAGTTAGATATTTAAAATATAAAATCAGAAGAGGGCATCTAAATAATTGATCCCACTAGAAATTCAATACCTAATTGAAAGAGAAAATATAGTTACTTACCTCAAAACTTCTTGATCTTCTCTTTCCTCCTCTGCGCACATCTATTTCTCTTCTTCTTCTTCCGGTTCTCCGGAGACGCGAGAGGGGTTTCTCTCTCTAAAAATATGAGAGCGCGAGAGAGGGGTGAGGGAGAGGCGGATGAGATTTGGGAAGCGTGAGAACAAGGGGGAGAGGAGAGAATTAAGATTTGATTCGAATTCATTTGGTTTAAACTGATTAGTTATCAAATTATTTAATTTTTATTATTTTAAATATAAGTATACTTGTCATTTTAATATTGCGCCACATACACGGTGAGTATAAGTTTTTTATTTGAGTAAGCAAATATTGTCCGATTGAAAGAATAAAGTTGTCTGCCTAGTTGTACCAATCTACATTTGACTAGTGATTGTCGGCTAATGTCAAGTGAACAGCGGTCGGCAAAATTAACATATTTCTTACGAAATTGAAAAAAAAAAAAAAAAAAAAAGAAGAAAAGAATTACACTCACTTTTCCTATGTTTTGGGCAAAATTATTTTGACACTTTCTGGGTTTTGGCACTTGTGCTGAATGACATCCTAACGTTACATTTATTTTTCTACAGATTCATTGATCAAATTTTATAATATGACAATATTACCCTTTTCCTTGTTTAAAAAGACAATAATAACCTTATAATAAAATGAAAAATATATAATAATAATAAGTAATAGAGAGGAAGAATAATCAATGAAAGTTACTGTACGTGATTGCATCATCAATCCACAGGAACTTATATGTTCCCCAAACAAAACCAACACCACCATTTTATTTCTCTCTCATTCTGCAATTAGGATTACGATAAATCTGTTGATGACTTGCTCTGGTTGTTCACTTGCGGACTTGATTTCAATTTCTTTGTTAAGGTTTTGATTCAGCAAAAGAGGGTTTTGAGTTTTTTTTTTTTTTAAACGATCAATCATATACACAGATCCCATGAACCATCATCAAGATGAAGAACAACAACAAGAAGAAGGACCGCTGCCATTAGCTACCTCTGCAACCCAATATACTAACACCACACCCTAAAACCCATTTCCCTTCAGTCGCATAAAACCCAAACAAGACACCATCGCCACTATGGCAAAGCCGTCATGAACCATTCAACAACCGCTACAACAACCCTCACCATCGCCTATTGTCCCTTAAGCCGTCACATCATCAGATTGTTGACATGTTAGCGCTGCTATCCTCTTCTTCGCTGTCTCGATGTCGCCGAAGCACTTTTCATCGTCACTCGCACTGTCGCCGTCCAGTTTCAGATGGTGTTGATGTTATTAGATTTCCAAGATGAGTTGACGGAATTAACCTGGCCTTTACCTAGCAAAGGAGGAGGGAATTAAGTTGGCCTTCGCCTAAAAATTTAAAAATACGTAGTAATGTCAAAGTCGTGTCTTTTCTTAAATCACAAATTTTTTTTAAACAGTTGTTAGTATTCATGCACTTATTCTCACTCCTGTGAGACTTAAAAAGTTTATAGCCTTTGTGCTCTGCTCGCGCTTGCGTGATTTAGGTCTTTTTCAATCTTTACAAGCAAAAATTCACACCAATTTCCTTTCATTTTAGTAAAATTAAAGCATTCTGTTTGGATGCTATAAATTAGGGGTTTGGCTAGGAAAGGAGTTGATGATGTCTTTTAAGGGTGCACATGGTTCGATTCAGTTCTGACATGAATTGAAACCAGTCACAATAGTTTCTTAAAAATGGAATCATGGAATTGAAATTGGAACCGCGTGTATATGGAACCGAACTGTGCGATTCCATGGTTCCTCACCTATATACTTTTTTGCTGTTGATCAACAGTAGATCAGAGAAGTCGTGTGGCCGTCTGAAATGATGTGTGAGTGTAGATCGAAAAGGTTGTCACAAAAAACAGTCGAAGAGGCGGTGTCACATCGCACTGTCGCTGACTTAGATGGTTCCAGTTCTCTCTCTCTCTCCCTCTCCAATAACTAATTAAGCGAAGGATAATGCTTAACTATTCACTGATGAGTAGAGTGAAACTATTCACCCTTATGTGGTCTAATAATAAAATAACACATTACATAGTATCCAACCACAATAACTAATTAAGGGAATCGCATTAAAACTGTGCACATGGGCGTGGGCTAGACTCTAGGTGGCTGCCCCAAACATGTTGCAGTATCGTGGGCCATTTGGGGCCCAATTGGCCGTACTCTGCACCAATAAAGCATGTCGCAGTATCCAACCACAATAACTAATTAAGGGCTTGTTTGGAAGTTTTTTCTACCCTCAATTCTGAAAAAGCAGAAATAAAAGTAGAATTATGTTTAATAAAATTGATTCTGATTTCTATAAAGAGAAAGTGAAATCAATTTGAATGAAGAAAGTGAAAACTGACTTTTTTTTATGCTTTCTGTACTTTTTGCACTATTGCGGGAAATTGATTCCTGCACTGTTACACACGGGTCACTGTTCATTCTAAATAAGCTGTGCGTGATTTGCCGTCTCGTTTATAACATCTCTCTTCTCTCCATGCTCGCCGCTCTTATCTTCACTACACTCTCTTCCAACCATATATCATCCCTGAATCCACCATAATCGAACCCAGATCAAGGCAAGCCACTTCTGTAACACCCACAGTGGAATCTTCAATTTCTTTGATGAGGCTGAGGTCCACGATTCCGGCATCGGAAGAGAGATACAGATGTGAATTCAACTAGATTCACACCTATATACAGAGGTTGTATACATACATACACACACACACACACACACATATATATATATACATGTTTGTAATCATTTGTGACCCATCTCTTACACACAAGATTAGGAAAACAAAATTAAAATTAAAATAATTTCGATACTACTACCATTTCTAGAGAGAGAAAGGGGTGAGAGTATCAATGGCGCAGAAGAAGCAGAAGACTCCTAAGGTGAGCCGAAACCCAGATCTGATTCGGGGCATCAACAAGTACTCTCGCTCCCAGATGTAACACAAGAGAGGTCTCTGGGCCATCAAGGCCAAAAATGGCGGCACTTTCCCTCGCCACGATAAGAAGCCCGTTGAGGCTAAGCCCGCCGAGAAGCAGCCGAAGTTCTACCCCTCTTGTCGACAAGCGCAAACCCAGATCTCTTTCTCCCAATATATATATATATATCGTGTTCACACTTTACTTTATGAAAATAATAATAATAATAATAATTAAATTAAATTAAAATTAAAATTAAAGTTATTAAACTTACTTTATATTTAAGTAAAAGAAATTATTGAATAATATTTTATTTTCTATTTTAGTTCAAGAAATCAAAAAAATAATTTTACTTTTAAAAAAAATGAAAACAAGAAAGTGAAACCGTTAATAAACGGAATCACATCGAAACTGTGCAGATGGGCGTGGGCTGGACTCTAGGTGGCTGCCCCAAACATGTCGCAGTATCGTCGGCCATGTGGGGCCCAATTGGCAATACTCTCTGCACCCAATAAAGCATGTAGCAGTATCCAACCACAATAACTAATTAAGGGAATAACTGTGCAGATGGGCGTGCGCTGGACTCTAGGTGGCTGCCCCAAACATGCCGCAATCGCATTGAAACTGTGCAGATGGGCGTGGGTTGGACTCTAGGTGGCTGCCCCAAACATGTCGCAATCGCATTGAAACTGTGCAGATGGGCGTGGGCTGAACTCTAGGTGGCTGCCCCAATTGACCGTATTCTCTGCACCAATAAAGCCAAGCACATTGTCACGGGCTTAGAATTAGGCGGGACGTCACAACATGCTTTCCTCTCAGTTGACTTTTCCCACTCCACCACCTTAATCATCTCTCTTCCACTCTTTCTTAAAAAAATAAATAAATAAATAAAATAAATAAAAAAATCATGCTTTATGTGACTAATAAGGTAAAAGGTTTTTCTTTCACAGATTTGCAGATTTCTATTTTTTCTTTTCCTTCCAATTTCATCCATCCAAGCGAAGCCGTAATTTTTCCTGCTTATATTTTCGATCCGTCTTCTCGACCCTTTCACTTGTCTTTCTCATCTTTTTTCTAACCTCATCTCGTCGTGGACTCGTTCATTTGTCTTCTCATCATTTTTCTAACCTCATCTCATCAAATATCTTCTCATCTCCATTTTCTTAATGGGCGAACATTATATTATATATAAGTAAAGTTTATCCATTATTCTTTGTAATTAATTGTATCATTTCCTTTCCTTCTCCTAATTATTCAAACACACTTAACTTTAAAAAGTAGTTTGAACAAATTGCAGCTTATATACGCAGAAGCAAAGAATGTTTGCAATATGGATTAATATTGCCAATAATTACCCCAAAATATCCTTAATAAAATTTGTATATACTAGTATTTTTTTATTTTACTTTAAGGGTATTTTAGGTATTTCAATCTTTAAATTGAGAAAATGTCATTGTTTGCTCAATTTGAAAAATGTAGAAATTTTTTTGAACACCAAAGATTTTTTTTTGGCACATTCATTATGTAATAGGGAGATTTTTTTGCACTTTACTGATAAATAGATTATACCAATAAACTATTAAAGTGATTTAATTTGAAATTTACAGTTGGACTTGAAATGACGAGTATTATTTAACTTGTTTGAGAATAAAAATTTATAACGCTATGTTGAAAAGTATAAAATTGGTGTCTTGAAATTATAATGGGAAGAAATTTAGTTAAAAATTTAACTATTTTGCCTTCAATTCCAACTTCAAAAATACTAATTCTATCTTCCAAATACAACATAAGAAATAATTGATTGAAAACATGTAGGTTCTAGCTTCTTAAATCTTCCATATTGTTTTAAAAATCTTATGAAACATATTTACAAAATAATTTCATTTTATGACCTTATGGTTAAGTCAAATGTTGCAACACTTGGCCAATACTATAATCTAATGTATTTCAATAAATAAGATTCGAGCTCAAGTTAAGTTTATTCTCGAGTATCTGACACAATGAAATTTCTGATCTAATATTCTTTTAGTAGTAAATAAAAACCTTAAAATTCACAACATTTACAAATTTTGTCTAAAGCTGCCACCTGCATCTCTCGGGTCTGCAGAGAGGCATCTAAGATAGTGAAGAGGAGACTTATTAGATGACATACAGATATAATACATACATATATAACAACAAGAAGTTCATGACAAAATTTTACGTTAGAATGTGAAAGTTAGCTAATGCAATCCTCTTCTTTATCAGGATTTTATCTAAAATATTTCTGCAATTGGAATTTGTGACGTTATGTTCCGAATTTTGTGTCGGGTAATAACGACCCATTAGATTCAAGGAATTAGTATTCTCTTATAACATAATATATAAGGGCGTTTAGAATTTGAAGTGGAATATATAAAGTGACAAAGATAAATAGTGAGGGATTGGAACTTGTAAAACTTTATTTTTTGTATTTTTCACGTATTAAAAACTTTTGCCGAATTTTCAGGTTTTGTCAAACCATGCTAAATTTTTATATTATTTATGTGTGGTGTGATTACATTTCTGTAGTGTTTCTTGATTCGCAGCATTGTCATAACAGAATTCATTCTAAAAGCAATAATCAAACAGAAACAGAAAAAACGAAAGCATGAATCGGACATAAATTGTTGATCTTATTCAAGAACTACAAGACATGCATAACAAGACTGGCAAGTTTAAATTATTGAAACAAAGATTACCAGCATCACCCCAACAAGAACAAATTACTAAGCTAATTTTTTTGGCACTTCAATCACGAAATGACCTTAACTCTTCGATTAAGGCATCCAAATCATTGTAAGACGAGCCACCTTCTTCAACAGCCCTCTTCGCCATCTCTCCCAGCACCCTCGATCTGCTTCTGATTTCCTCAGCTTCTTCGCCCACCATTATACGCTTCACCGCCTTCTCTATAGCATCACTCTTCACACTATCTCCCACAAATTTAACCCATCTCTGAACTCCAACTCCAACACCAGTCTTCAGAACCTCAGTAACAAATTTTTCGTTGTAGAACTGTTCAGCAAACACAGGCCAAGTCACCATGGGCACCCCGGCACTCACTGCTTCCAGTGTCGAATTCCAACCACAGTGACTCACGAATCCTCCAACTGCTTTGTGACCAAGAATCAACATCTGGGGTGCCCAACCTCTGATGATTAGTCCCTTCCCTTTCGCCCTCTCTTCGAAACCTTCTGGCAACCAATTTTCGCTATTATCTTCTTCCTCCTCGTCTCTCCTCACTACCCATATAAATTCTTGCCCAGAAGCCTCAAGACCCTTTGCAATCTCCATTAGTTGAGAATCTGGGAATCTCGTCACTGTGCCAAAACATACATATACAACTGAATTAGGTTTCTTGGAATCGAGCCATTTCAAGCATTCATGCGTGTCAATTGATGATTTCTTTCCTCTTGCCGCCTTTTCGTCGTTGTTCCTGTTGGAAAGTACCATCGGGCCAACATGCCATGCTTTCTTTTCCTTCTTGTATAGTTCAGCATAAGCTGGTTCGAGCTCGTAGAAGCTATTGAAAATATTTCCATAGCTTCTGTCTGCGGACTCTCTTGCACTCCCAACCAATCTCGAAAAATCATTTTCGAAACCCAGCCTGATATGATCATGAAGCTGCAGTTTTGTCATGTTGATGTGATCGGGAAGGCCAGGAATTATAAAGGGTTCAGTATCTGATGACAAGTTCTGGTAAGGCTTGTTCTTGGTCACACTGTCCTGTGCACAAGTGGAGAAAAAACATGTACGATAAGCTAATCTAGGAATTCCGTGCTTGGCTGCTAGGTCAGTCGCCCACGGGAAGAACCTATCGGCCACTAGGCCGTTGGGGTGGCATTCTTGTAGAAGCTGTTCCAAGGGTTGTTGGAGCAAGTTTATGGCATGGAAGAATTTGATGTGGAGCTCTGGTGTAGTGACAAGGTCGAGGTTTTCGAGGCCTTCAGGAAGGCCAGCCTCTTTGGCTGGGAATGTGATGGCTCTGATGGTGATCATGTTGGTAGAGAGGCTTTCTGATCTTTGGATTGCTCGGGTAAAGATAGGGACATTGAGAGGAGTGGTGATCATGGTGGCTCTTACGCCACGGGCTGCGAAGAGCTTGGCAAGGTCGATGATTGGAAGCATGTGGCCTTGAGCCATTAGGGGAAAGAAGAAGAGGTGAAGATGTTTAGTTTCAGGATTCATCCTGTTGCCTGTGCAGAGAGAGAAATCTACAGAGAGAGAAAGAGAGAGGAAGTGAGGTATTTTTGATGTGGATGTAACTTCTGATTATATGCAATATATAAGTAGGTTTGTCTGCTGGTGGTATAACTTGCAGTTGACAAAATGTAAGCCATGTGAAACACAAGTGCGATCTAGTTTAATTTATTGTGAAGTTCAAGGCCTATGAAATGATTGTTGAACATGGTATAGAGAATCAAAAGAAAGAGAGTTGGAATTGGTGCGGTTTAAAATAATTGTTTTTGCTTAGTCTTCGTTTCAACGTAAAATATTTTTTAAAAAAAAAATATATTTTTTAGATAAAATATTTTTTTACTTTTATTTTGTTAATATTTGATAAAAACTTACATTGAAATTGAGATCGAACTCATTGAGCCGGACATATAAAATAACTTTTCAAAAATTTATGAATAAATTGTTTCTATTAAATTTTAATATTTTTTTTTCTTCGTCAATATTTTAGGATAACTAAATACTAAAAAATATTTTTTAAAAATATTTTACGTCCAAACAAATAAAACCTTAGTGTAAAATGAACATAATGTATACTTACAAAACATATCTATCAAATTTGAAGACCTGATACTACTTAAAACAGCAATTTTATACTATCTTATAAATTGATATCAACTGAAGATATCATAATCCATTATAAATTAATATCACTTGAAGATACCAATCCTAACTCGTCAGTTAAGTTCAGATGTCATGTTAGGACACCAATCGTGCAAAACATTTTCTCGTTATAAAATGACTTTAACAGCTAGCATGGCAGTTTGAAAAATTTGTGATACAACACGCCAACAATGACATGCAATTCAAAAATATAAAATCAAAGAATTCTTCTGAGCCCTTATCATGGCTGAGTCCTTATCATCGCCTAGATGCCAGCTCTCCCTAATTTTCTAGCAATTTTCTGCCTTCTTTGTCTTTAGTGCTTTGCAACGTGGAATAATATCTGCCATTAGCGTTACAAGACCCAGAGATCAACCTAACCGTGGGTCCCACTTCTTGTTGTTGAATTGATCTAGCCCTCCCCAATCCGATGCACTAGAGAGGATTTTCATCCAACAGTCATGTACTTGATACTGGCACAAAACCCATTATTTTATATACTCAATATATATAATTTAGTAACATTTGTATTATTTAAATATTATTAAATATATGTGTTTGGCCTGTAAAAGTGATCGGTTCCGATGAAATTGAATGGACATACTAGAAACTGTAGTAGTTTCGAAAAGAGATCCAAACAATATTTCAAATGGAAGATTGCAAGACTAAGCAACTGTGATGAGGTCTGGAATGAACACCTCATGGTTTTTTTGCTTTTGAAAAAGAACTTCGGGATAGTTAACTGGTTAGGAAAGAACGAACTACTTTAGAAATTAATTGACTGGAATGTAAAATTATTTACTGAAAAGTAAAGTGCAGGACTAAGACTAATCATATTGAGAGTGCATTGCAATGAAAATAAAGATTGTATTGAAATGCGTATTTGGTTTGGCGTTGAGCAGCCTTCTAAGTTACAATATCATGCCCTATTTATAGAATTTAGTAATGGTAACTTGCATGTAATCGCTTACTTCTTAGGCTGCAATGTGTCCCATAACTTTGCATGTAACTGCTTACTTCTTTGGCTGCCATGTGCTGCAAGACTTTTCACTAGAACGTCATATAGTACCTTTCCATTGGAATCGACCAGCTTCCTAGGCTGCCATGTGTCCCATGACTTTGCATGTAATCGTTCGCTTCTTAAGCTGTCATATGTCCTATGACTTTGCTTGTAACCGCTCGCTTCCTAGACTGCCATGTGTCCTATGACTTTGCTTGTAACCGTTCACTTCCTTGGCTGCCATGTGTCCCAAGACTTTCCACTAGAACGTCGTAGTACTTTTCCATTGGAATTGACCAGCTTCCTAAGCTGCCATGTGTCCCATGACTTTGCATGTAACCGCTTGCTTCATTGGCTGCCATGTGTCCCAAGACTTTTCACTGGAATATTGTAGTACATATCCATTGGAATTGAGCAGAGCAATCTTCCAATGGAAAGTGAAAAAATATGGTGTAAACATTGCCCCCCAAATTTGATATGCCTGATATTTTTTGAAGAATTGTAAGGCATATCAAATTTTATATGTGAGTGAGAATTTGCTATGTGATATTCCTATTATTAAGGAATTAAACAATTGTAACTTTTCAGCCAGAATGTACGGACCAAAAACTTTAAACAGCTTATTTAACTAAGACGAAGATTCGAAGCCTCGCGTCCAATTTTGTTGCCTCCCGGGGTTTGGAGGTTTACAAAGAAGACGAATTTGTATATCTTCAGGCCAAATACATAGTTGATTGGCCAAGTTTTGCCACCCAAAAATCACAAAATGTGATTTTGGGACAAATAAAGTACTAGCATTTTTTCCCAAAATTGGAAGAAAAATATTATGACCTTTATATTCTTCGTGTGGAAGAATATACAACGATTGAGAAGCTTGTGCCGTTTTCGAAGGAAATTTTAATTGTGGAAAATCTTCTTCTAATGGAAAAAGTGATAACGGCTTCTTATGGAAAGGTTTGTTGACCTTCCTCTTGGAATGAACTATTTCTGATTGAAGATTCTGCACTGAAGATTACACCTGAAATGGAACCTGCACTGCTGTTGGTGGAATTAACTTCACTGCTGCTGGAATCGACTTCACTGTTTCTGAAGGGTTCTGCACCTTAGGTGGAACCAGTAGCTGCGATGGAAGTGGTGGTGGAATCGACTTCATTGCTGGTGGAATCGACACCATAGGTTCGGGTAATGAGTTTGTATTTTCTGACCAACTTTTGGGTAAGTTAGCCATTGGATGCCCCCCAAACATCATTAGAAATGTGTTTGAGTCTGGGTTATTCCTTCAGCGACCTCTATTGCCTCCTTGATCAGAAGACTCCCTTAGTATGTTCTGCCCCCCACCTGCCATAGGAAAAACCTGAGGCGGTCTTTGAGGAATGGTATGAGGTGGGTGAACATTCTGCTGGCCAACATTGGGTGGAAAATACAATTGATTTCTCAATTGACCTGCCTAAGCTGTACCCTGAGAAGTCCGATATTGATGCAAATTGTTAGTAAAAATATCATGATATACCTATTGAGGTATAACCACATGAGCTGAATTCTGCACTTGCTGGGTCACTAGAATGGACATTGATTGTACAGGTGGCACCTGCTTGTTTGCACTTGAGGCATGGTATGCACAGGTTGATGAGAAGGACTCCCTTCAACAAACGTGGTCCCATGTGACACACGACACTTCAAATTCAGCTCAAAAAGTTGTCGAGGCTTTAATATTTATCTTTAAGACCTACCTCGTTTCATTTAGGTTTTATTTGTTTCATTAATTTAGTGATAAAAAAAATAAAAAAAGGAAAGTAAAGTGAGATTAAATTTTATCAATTCAAAAGAATAAAATAAAAATGAAAGAGAAATTAAGAATCAAATTAAATAATAAAAAAAGACAAAAAAAATCCTTTACAATTTTACATTATATAAATAAGTTGTAATTAATTTGTACGGGTTTTTCGTGGTTTGGTTTGGTTTGATTTTATGAACATTATGATTCGGTTTGGTTTCAAAAATAGTGAAACCGTTATAAATGATTTAGTCTCGAAATATTTTCAATTCGGTCCAAATCGAATTGCGTGCACCCATAACATTTATAGAGTTACCATTACATATTTTTTATTCATAAGCTTCTATTGGATGATGAAATGAGAACACAGATAGTCGACACATGTTCGAGTGACGACACCCAAAATGAAGTGTTAGTACATTCTAGCATATAAGTTTTGCGTTGGGCGTTCAAAAAAAACTTTTACTTTTCACACTTTTTTTTTTTTTTGCCTTCTAATTTACAAATATGCGGGCTGAGTTTCTGACCTTCCATGAATATATCTATAACTCTATTAATTAATCCGTATTTACCAGCATTTCTATGAGTAGCTAGACGAATAGCTTCTTAAGGCCTGTTTGGGGGATGCTCTATCTTGTTCTGTGCCCTTCCCTACAGTGCAAATGGACACTATTAAGGACACTAACTTGTTTGGCATGGGTTGTATTGTGTCCAACAGTGCAAGAACAATTCGCAAGAATGGGCAAATTTACGGAACAAAAAAATTCTTATTCCAAAGTGTACCCAAAATAAAGCCGGCCCACTATTCACTGTAGAAAGGAGAACAACAGGCCAAAGTTAGAGCATTCTGAGAACACATATTTAAAGAATCGGTAGAACATTGCCCTAATTGTGAACTTGCCTCCATCTCTATTCTCGTTCTCAATTGTGAACTTGCCCTAATTTATGAAAAAACACTCTGAACTTGCCTTTTCTCTCTCTCTGCAACTACAAGCTACAAAATTTACAAGAATCAGAAGTTCAAAACCCACCTCCATCTCTATTCTCGTTCTCAATTCTGAAGTTGCCCCCTCTCTCTCTGCAACTGCAAACTACAAAATCTAGCATATCTGTGAACTTGCCCCCCTATCTCTCTCTCAAAAACCCCATTGATTCATACATAGATAAGCTCAGACTTAGCTTTTTACAGCTAATTGAAAAGGACCCTTTTGGCTTTCTGATCTTATTTGACTATTTCTATTCCTCCTTCTATATCAGTTCTCTCTAGGTAAACAGGTAGATTAACCCAAAAATTACCGAATACGATTTGTGCGTTGCTGAAAACGATCTCTATCTCAGCTCTGCGTTTTCCGGCGAACCCCACCTCAGCGTTTTCCGGCGAATCCAAAGTTTCGGCACGTAGATCTGTCACTCCGGTGAGCTCTTGTGCGCTCTCTTCTGCCTATTCCGACGAACCCCACATCTGCGTTTTTTTAACTGAATTTTTGTTTGATCCAAATTCTCAAATCTCTTGCAATTTCTTCACCTGCTATATATATATAGCAAAATAGCTTGAATCCTCATTTTTTATATTTGTCTATCTGAAATTTTTAAAAAAATTGTTAGATAATATAATATATGATAAGATTTGTTTTTCTAATATCAAAATAGCTTGAATCCTCATTTTTTATATTTATCTGAAATTTAAAAAATTTAAATTTAAATGGAGAAAGAAAATAATTGTGACTTATTATTAGATAATAT